TTGATTTGCCCAGAGAGAGAGAGAGAGAGAGAGAGAGAGAGAGGGAGAAAGTCGCTGGGCCTGGGATTTGAACTGTGGTCGGCCAAGTGGGAGTCCAGCACGTTTAACCACCACACCACCTGCTGGCCCCAAAAGACTGAGTTTTCAATACCAGGAGACATGCACTACCACACATGGCAAGCACACCTCAAGCTGTCAGAGGATGAAATCTACTCACCATCAGCCAGGCGCTCCCTCCAGCTCTGAGCCGCGTGGGTGAAAAACTCATTATTCAGTGCACTGCTGCTAAGACGCAGCAGGCCATCGGTCCCCACCTAGAAAGATCAAGGAGGTAAGATAATAAGTAAAGACACTGAAAAAAAGAACAGAAGCCCACCCAGAAGGAGGCAAAGAGGAAGCTTCCATTCTGTACCTGTCTGTCCACTTCAGGCAGCAGGAAGAGGAGCTGCTGCTGGAAGTGTGATGGCAGGGCATGGAACGTTCGGGAGTTTATCAGGGCACGGAGGTTCGTGTTGACAAGAATGGACCCAGGAGTCTCAAAATCTATCTCTTCCCCTCTGTTGCGTTTCATTTGACCTGTGATTTTTGAAGCAAGAAGCAGCAAGGTATACATTTTCAGCACCTCACAGCAGAGGCAAAAACCAACTGATGGAAAAGTTTTGGTGGCAGAGCTCAAGCCACCCAGAACTTTTAGGTACACAATCTGCCCAATCGTCCAGTCCACCCTAACCTGTATGTTAAAACTGTTCTTTCCAGATGACTGGCATTGCCAGCAAACCTTAGAGAACACTTGGGCTGTGTCCCCCTCAACCAACACTGTGTGCTGAACTATGCCATCAAAGAGGAAACTCTTCCCACGGAGATCCAAGCAGGGGGCAGGGTCTGAGCTTCCCTCCAAAGCTGGAGAACAGGCTCTACAAGGCCCAACTGGAGAAATGATGGAATGTGTCTACGAACGAATTTAGTTCGTCTATTACAGGAAAGTCTATGGAAGCCTTCTGAGAATGTGCTGGAGAGAGACAATCTCCATGCAGAACTGTACTAAGGGTTGGTCAAAGTCAACTGAAATGTCAATACCACTCACATAAGCCTAAGCAAATGTTACTTTTATTTGGGGAAAAAAAAACCAAAGTCACTAATAATAGAGACCTGTGAGACCTTAGATTAAGGGCTACTGATGAATTGGAAAAGCAGCAAGACAGCAAAGCTAGTTCCCACTTAGACAATGTTTTATGCTAATTTTCAGAAGCCAAGGCTAGTCATCTTAATGGTTACAAGCTGCCCCTCTATAAAAGACCCTAGCACATAGACCTTAAGACATAAATCCTGCAATAGCAAATGGCATACTAACCTTACAGATAACCCTGCTGGGTCAAGGTGGCACTACTGAGTTTGTATGCATGCTCATATTCGACATCTCAACATACTAGTTGGTTCAGAAAAAGGGAGCAGCTGATAGACACTGTGATGCTGGGAATGAATGTGGCAGGTATTACCAAAGAAAGAAAGTGGATGTTGGATTTCTTCACTGAGAAGCTGACAAGCAGTATTTGCTCATTCACACACTAAGCAGGTCCAGGGCGGGCACGGGCTAGGCCCTACGGGACATAAAGGAGCAATGTGGCACCATCTCTGCCCACAAGGTGTCTCAGTCTAGCAGAGATCTATACACGAGATAACCAAAATACAGGCAAAAACAGAGGGCCACCCGAGAAATAAAAATAAATTGATAAAGGAACTGGAGTAGTAGAAGACATCTTCTTACTAGGCCTGCAGGGGCCCCCTTTACAGGCAGAGAAATGAGTGCCAAGCCACTCACCTGTGGCCGGCTTCCGGAAGCCTCTCAGGAGCGGGGCAGGGTCCCGGGCGACCTCGGCCTGGCCACGAATAGCAGCGCTGCCCAGGGCCAGAGAGCCGCTGCTGCTGCTGGACGGGCTGCCGCTCTCGCCATCGGCGTGGCGGCCCGAGAACCCTGAAGGTACAGCATTCCACTGGTCAAAAGTATCACAGGCCACGCCCATGGCTCTCAGACAAGCTTACTTCTCCCAGCTCCCTGAACACCGCCACAATGTGAAGGTGCTTTCATCTCCCAGCCTCGGGCTGCTGGAAATGACCACCTCATGGACTGGCTTAAAGCGCCACCTTAGGAAGGCCAAACTGCCACGTGTATTTGCACAGCACTACACCTTTTGCAAAGCACTGGCACGTCCCTTCACTGGCTCTTCATGACTGCCCTGGGAGCCAAACGAGGGCACACAGCAGAGGCCAGACTAGAACCTACAGCAGGCTTTACCAGCACAGAGCGCTGCCTTCCAGGAAGGTGGGCTCCTGACTCTGGCTCAACAGCTCTATGGGCATCACACTACTAGGTCAGAAACAGGGAGGCCAGGTCCCCAGGACCTGAGGAAAGAGCACCATGACCACGGGTTTACACGTACCTGATGCAGATTCCACGTGGGCCCCGTTTACCTTCAGAGGAGTCAGGACAACTCGAGGCAGCATCACCCCAGTCTTCTTCTTTTGTCTGTTTGCCTATATTCCCCAAGGGAATAGAAAGAGAGCCCGAGTCACCTGCAGAGCCACACTGGCACTCCCTCTTGGCCCTATCTCTACCCGCTCTCTTGTAAAACAGAGTTCGTAGTCAACCAGATCTGCCAGGGAAAGCTGACAACAGCAATGACTAACGTTACTGAGTTGCGTGTCGGTCCTGGGCCAAGTATTACTGCAAGCTGCAAAGAATGCAGCGTTAGCCCCATTTTACAGATAAGGGATTCGCCCATGGCCCCACGGCGAGGAGTGGCAGAGCCAACGTTCGCACTACTATCAAGCTCACATGCTTACCAGTCTGCACGGTCCCACACTTCTCCCTCCCAGTACACATTGTTGAGCATACTGCCAGAATGAACAGAATTGCTCAGCCATGGCAAAGAGAAAAACAAACTACTTTTCCTATGGACCACTATATTTCTTAATTATTTCTTTATTATTATTATTTAATTTGAGCAGAGAGAGAACGGGAAAGTGAGAAAGCAAGGCACCAGGTCTGAGACTTGAACTGTGGTCGTCCATGTGGGAGTCTAGCACCTTAACCAACACGCCATCTGCTGCCCCCCGCCCCCATGGGCCACTTTTAAACAGTACTAAGAGGTGGAGACCAAACTTATTTTCAACACCCTGTAAACACGTTCACAGCTGACAGAGGAGGAAGACTTGTCTTGTCCTCCAGGCCCAGTCGCCATTCTCCTTCCTACCTGTGCAGTAGCTCTGTAACTGTCCCTGGAACTGGAAAGAGGCCGACTCTGAGATTCTGTGGAACAGGATGCATTTGAAGATGTTTCGTCGAGAGACACTGGGAGAGAGGAAAACGAAGGTTAGTCCTAGCAGGTGTCCGGGGTATGTCCCCCTCCTGTTAAGGGCACTTACCATCGTTTTCACCACTCACAGTGCTGGCTTCATTAGACCCACAGCTCTCCACATCAGCTGTGTCTTCTGGCTCCTCTCCTTCCACTGCAGCCGGACTGCGCGACCACTGCAGGGCATCCTTCTGTGACAGCAAGGCACAACTCAGGTGAGCAAAACCCTACAAATCCTACAAGCACAGTAGTCATTCCTAAATTTGTATGCTTTGGGAGATGAGAGATTTATATCAACAAGACCTATTCCTTTCTGACTGACCTCTTTCTCAGCTTTCAAGTTCTTTCGATAAATACAGCATTAAGGGACCAGCAGATGCTGTGATGATTACGTCACTGGACTCCAATGTGGTTCAAGTCCCAGATCCAGGGTTTTAAAACTCACCCTGGGCACATATGCATGTGTGCCCAAAATCCTGAGAGGAGAATGAAGAAGGGACTGTGGCATGGCCATCCCCCGTAGGTGATTTCTCACTTTCTGTCACTATCTCTCTGGCGAGCACATGCGCTCTATAACAAAAATCTCTCTTAAAAAATTAAGTAAGTACAGCATTAAGAAAGTTAGATACATGGGGCCAGTAGGTGGCCCAGCAGTTACGTCACCAGACTTCTACATGGCTGGCTGCAGTTAAGAGTCTCAGACCCGGTGGCCTGAAACTCACACCAGGTGCATGTGTGTGTGCACCCAAGACCCTGGGAGAAGAGTGGAGACAGAACTGTGGTGTGGCCAACCCCCTGGGAGGTGACTTCTTACTTTCCCTCTCACTGTCTCTTTCTGTCTCTCTCTCAGTTAAGCACATATGCCCTAAGGCAAAAACCTCTTCAAAACAATGAAAGAAAGAAAGAGAAAGAGAGAAAGGGAGAAAGAGAGAGAGAGAGAGAGAGAAAGAGAGAGAGAGAGAGAAAGAGAGAGAGAGAAAGAAAGAAAGAGAGAGAGAGAGAGAAAGAGAGAAAGAGAGAAAGAAAGAAAGAAAGAGCGCGACCGAGCGCGCGAGCGCAAGCATGAGCAAGAGAGCAAGCAAGCAAGCAAGCAAGCAAGCAGGCAAGCAGGCAAGCAAGCTAGCTAGCTAGAAATGGGGCCAGCAAGTGGTGGGGTAGTTATGGTGCTGGTCTCCCACAAGGCCAACCACAGTTCAAGTCTCGGACCCGGTGGCTTACTTTCTCACTTTTCTCCTGTGCACACATGCTTGTATCCTATAGCAACTTTTAAAAAAAGAATAAAATGAAATACATTCTTTTTAAAGTTAGATATAATTTTGCATTTAATTATTTATTAAGCATTTATATGATACCTTCTATAAGCTACACCATGTTAGTTCCTGAGAGGGTGGGAGTCAAGGAAGAATTAGGGCCCTGTGCCCTTGGAGCTCAACCGAGTAGTGGGAGAAGTCAAACTTATTATGATATAAAGTACAGTGACAGGGGCACATGCACAGAGAACGGTGGCAGCCCAGAAGAGGGGCCCACGGGATGTGTGCTTGAGAGTTTTTTTTTTCAGAAGTTAGCTATTGGGCAGATGAGTGAGCAGCAGGGAGACAGTAGAAGTTCTAGATAGTGGGACAAGCAAATATGAAAGAATACTCCAAACTCCAAAAAACCACAGGCTTCAGTAATGGTGTGGCAACTGGATACAGAAGAGGCTAGAGAGGCAGCAGGAGGGCAAAAAATAAAACAGTGTGTAGAGGGAGTAGGGTTTTTGTTTTAATTAATAGTTTAATTTACATAAATTTATATGCAAAAATGTCCAACATGTACATATTTATTTTCATAACATGGTATAATTTTAAGTACTGAAATTTAAAATATTTATTGCACTGTGGATACTAGAATTTAAATATTACTCAATTTTCCTTTTTTTTAAAATATGGAACACTTTATGAATTTGTGTGTCATCCTTGTGTAGGGGTCATGCTGGTCTCTGTATCATTCCAATTTTAGTATATGTGCAGCCGAAGCAAGAATTAGTGTAAGGTTTTTTACGGTTTTTATTGAACGTTTCTGCCCTAGGGCACATGTGCTTCCCGGAGTGACAGAGATAGTGAGAGGGAAGTAAGAAATCACCCTCTATAGAAGATAGCCACGCAGCAATCCCTTCTCCTCCATTCTCCTCTTGGGATTTTGGGTGCACACAAACCAAAGGGGATTTTTAAGCCACCAGGTCCAAGACTTGAACTGTGGTCAGTCATGTGGGAGTGCAACACCTAAACCACTACGCCATCTGTTGGCCCCAGGAGTAAGATTTTAATCATCTTGGCATCTCTAAAGGATATTTATCAGGGGAATGATTTTAGGACTTTCATTCTGACAATCAAGAGAAGTCTAGAAGCAAGAAGAGTTAGACCAGGGGACCAGCAGTTAGCGTAATGGCTATGTCGCTGAACTCCCATGTAGTCAACTGTGGCTCGAGTCCCAGACCCGGTGGCTTAAATTCACACCAGGCATGTGTGCGTGCATGCCCAAGATCCCAAGAGGAGAATGGGGGAGAAGGGATTACGGCATGGCCATCCCCCCTGGGGGGTGATTTCTCGCTTTCTATCTCTCTGTCTTTCTGGTGAGTGCACACACCCTATAGCAAAAACCTCTCCCTCGCCCCCCCCCCCAAAAAAAAAGTTAGACCAGAAGTCCAGTGAAAAATGCTGAAGATTTAAACTAAACTAAGTACCAACAACCTGATGCAGAGAAGAGTTCCATTCTGTCACCTCCTCACCAAGGCTTCTTCACAGGCTCTGGGTTTACTCTCAGTTAACTCCATGCATGCCCAAGGAGAACTTAGGCGTTGCCTCACAACTCAAAATGAGGAAGGCTGTGAATGAATATTGGAGGCCGGAGAGAGGGACAGAGATCAGTTCTGAGAGAAGAGGGGAAGGTCTTCCATTTTGAAGAAAAGTGTGTGAATAATAATAAAAATATGTGGAGACTAGATAAAATCAAAATTCTACCTCTTAAAAAATACATTATAAATTTAAGAGAACTCCACAAAAATCTAACTCACCAACGTCATGGGCCCCTTATATTTTCATCAATTTAATTTTTAAAAAATGTTTTTGCCATACAGGCTCATGCACTTGTCCAGAGGGAAGGAGGAAGGGAGAGGGAAAAAGAGAGAAAGCAATAAATCACCCCCCCCCGGGGGGGTTAGTCATGCCACAATCCCTTCTCCTACATTCTCCTCTTGGGATCTTGGGCACATACACATATGTGCCCATCACGATTTCCAAGCTGCTGGGTCTGGGATTTGAACCATGTAGTCAGCAATGTGGGATCTAGTGCCTTTACCTCTACACTATCAGCTGGCCCCTATCTGAATTAATTTTAAGATAAAATCATGCTATCTTAAATCAACAACAAATAAAAGTGTTTAAAGATCTTTATCTTTCACCTCCTACCGGCCATAAAGGCTGGTCAGAATCAAAAGCTAACGATTATTTTTAGTATTAATCTTACCATTATGGTTATGACTGCCATGTTTCTGGACCAATGAAGCAAATTTAATCTCTGAATCTTGTAAGTAAACGAGGATAAAATACTCAAAAATGAACAGGGAAGTCTATATTGGCAAAGCTGACCCCAAAACTCCAGTTTTAGCAAGAATATGAAAATGATATAAACACTGTTGGTGAACATGAAAATGGTATTGAAAGGTGCATATGCTGCTAGTAGGAGAGTAAACTGTTAGCAAAAATCTAAAAATAGGCCCAGCCACAGTGGCACATGCAGTAAGGCACCTTGCACGATGCTGGAACCCGTGGGAGACCCAGGTTCAGGGTCTGGCTGAACATAAACATATGGGGTAAGCCTGCTCACATGCCTGTAGTCCTGCCTGGGAGGTTAGGGAAAGGACTGATGTGGGGAGACTATCAAGGATGCCTTTCTCTTTTTCTTTCTCTTTCATGAAAAAGGCAATAAATAAACTTTAAACAAATCTTAAAAATGGGTGACTAGCAGGTGGCAAAATGGTTAAAACGCTAGACAATCACATGGCCAACCACGGTTCAAGTACCAGATCTGGCAATTTAAAAATCATGCCAAGTGCATGTGTGTGCATGCCTAAAATTCCAAGAAAAGAATGGAGAAAGGATTGCAGCATGGTCATTCACCCTGGAGATAGATATAGATATAGATATAATATAGATATAGATATATCCATACACACACACACATATACACAAAGTCATCAGGAAAGTCATATATTTTTCTATTATGTTAATGCAAACAACTTTTTATGACTCTCCTGACAACTCAATATATAACTTTTAACCCAATACTTCCATTCCTAAGACTCATACAGGACATGAAAAGCACTAATTTTCAATTGAACTACATTAAAACTATTTATTCATCAAAAGATATCATTAATGGAGTAAGGAGGTCAGGAGAGGTATTTGCAACTCATATAACCAAGAAATAATTTATATCTGGCCTACATATGTCAATCCAAAAGAAAAATAAGATGTGAACTAGACACTGTGCAAAAGAGAATATCCAAGTGGCCAGCAGACACATGAAAAGGTATTTAATCTAACTAAGGAAAACACAAAATAATGCAAATTAAACCACAATGAGATACCATCACATCCACCAGCACAGCTAAAATACCAAGTACTGGGTCGTCGGAAAGTCTTCACACGCTTTGTACAGAAAAATATATCGTGACTGTCCCAACACCCTAATAGTATGTGTACATATATATATATATATATATATATATAATCCCTCTCCTCCATTCTCTTCTTGGGATCTTAGGCACACATACACATGTGCCTGGTGTGAGTTTAAGCCACCGGGTCCGGGACTCAAACCACGGTCGACTACATGGGAATCCAGTGACATAGTCATTACACCAACTGCTGGTCCCTGACCTAATAGTATTAATAAAGGATGTGGAGAGACCTGTAGATGGCATAGCAGTTATATCGCTGGACTCCCACGTGGTTATCCATGGTTCAAGCCCCAGAACCAGTGGGCTTGAAACTTAGACCAGGCATGTGTACATGCATGCCAAAGCTCTCAGGAGGACAACGGAGGAGGAGGGATTGCAGCATGGCCAACATTCCCCCCACCCCCAACCCCGAGAGGGTAATTTCTCACTTTCTCTGTCTCTCTCTGGAAAGTGCATGTGCCCTTTGGCAAA